AACAGTTTGTTGATTAATTAAATTTGCATTATCTTTTGTTTGTACGTCTCACTTCGAATTCCCATCGGCGGAAAAATTTGATTTCGAGCAACCAGTTTTAACACACGATTTCTTAGTCATTTTTGATCTTATTGATATAAGAACGATATAATCGGAAACCTAATAGGCTATTCTTTATTGCCATATAAAAATTATATGGTTTACTTTAGTATTTTATAAACAGCAGTCTGTCAAATTTGGATTCGAATTATTTTGATACACACTGTATATCTATACATACGCCCATTTTTCAGTTCAAAGCATAACCAGCGTTTTTCAGCCTTTAAACAAAGGCTGCGGGAGGAATTTTGGCCCTGATCCTGCAATCTCTAACTTTAGGACTGATTCGGTCCAATACAGATGCTTAGTAACTTGTTTAACTTAAATTTTTGTTTCTAAGAATATGTGCTAAATTACCCAACGTGGACAAATTAAACGACATATTTAATTTGTGCGTTTCGCGACAAAATTTGCGTGACTCGTAAAAAAAGCGGACCGCCTTGTGCATAAAGGGGACGAGGAAACTTTGCGCAAGTTTATTTTCGGTTTTCTTTCAACTTTGATCTTTTTCTGAGGATTTGTAACGTGGAAGTTCGTAATAGTTTCCTCTTCCCACCCCAACCACACGAAAAGGTCGCTTCCCCTCTCTCAGTTCCTTCGTCTTCGCCACATTTGCAGTGAAGATGAGGATTTCTAAGCCAAAAGTCTACAAATGAGAAACTTTTTGTAGTCAACGCGGCTCATCCCTCTTTTAAACACTGTCTCCAGTCAAAGGCCTCTCACATTTCTCGATCTGAGAACCTTATAATCATAGTTATACACCCTGAAGGCTTTTTCTTAAATTCTGATTTTGGGAATGGAGTATACCAAATCTGTTTGAGAATTTCTTAATTGGTGTATAATTGGACAATCGCTTATTTTCGAAAAAATTTCTTTCAGGTTTGAATAAAGTGCCTTGCCGGAAAGTGCAATATTGTCAAGCTTTCCCAGGTCCAGGAGTACTTTATGGTTTATCGAGTCAAACGCTTTCGAGATGTCAAAGAAAAGTAAACCAGTGATTTTCCTTTTACCCATTGACTCGAGAACCCAGTTATTTACTTATCTGCATGATAGCTTGTGCAATAAAACCCATATTAATGAGAATAAATATAATTCAACCCCTTTAGATGCGCACTCAATTGTGTATGAACAACCTTCTCAATAACTTTGCTCAACACCTGCAAAATCGAGATTGGCCGATAATTTTCAAACAACAGTTTGTCATCGGCTTTGTCTAACGGGGTGACTCGTGCAATTTTCCACAAAGCAGGAACTATTCCATCTGTAATCGATTTATTTACAAGATAGGTTATTGAAGAAGTAAGTTCATGTTCAGCATCCCTTATCATTCTTGCCGAGATTTTGTCCAGACCAGGCACCTTATTTACTTTTAACGAACTTAAGACCTTTCGCACTGTTTCATAATTTACTGGCCGCAATTCCAAAGGATTTTGTTCACTTTGATTTTCAGGCTCATATTTTGTGCAAGCATATTTCGCACCTGCCCGTAATCTACTTGCGATTTTACTTCCAATAGTAGCAAAAAATTAATTAAATTTTGATGCTACAGCTTTGGGTTCTGACAAGATACTTTTTCCGTCTTGCTCTCGGAACAGCATATCCCCAGTTTTCTTTCCACCAATCAAGAGCCCCACATTTCTTTCGGGCCTGCAGACGACTCAATTAGTTTCTCACGATGACGAATCTGCCATTTTTGGGTGGCATCTAATTCTCGTTAACCAATTCAGACAATAAAAACAATGTGAAAAGCAATTTTTCAAAATAAACTAACCATTTACAAATCAAATTTACTATCATTCGTCAAAAATATTATAAAAAGTCGCTGTTATGTGGACTTATCTCGCAGACTTCGGCTGAAAAGCCACCCAAAAATGGAGGCGTGAGAAAGGCTAATTAGTTCCTTACAATACTCTGCCTCTACCGCCTTTATCTTTCTGCTTGTGAGGTTTTTTAAGCTCCGATAATTGTCCCAGTTTTGTCCAGACTTTTTCGCAATCTTTAATACATGGTCTCTTTCAGTCATTAGTTCTTTAATATCGTTGGTAATCCAGGGCATTAACTCACCTGTTGTTCGTATTCTTTTCAAGGGTGCATGTTGATTAGCTATATCAATGAATAAGCTATTCCATGCTGAAACTGCATCAATATCGTCAAAGGACTCTATAACACTCCAGGGAATACCAGCAATATCTTTACAAAAGTGTTCTCTATTGTACCGTTTAAAGGATCTAACTTCACGGATTTCGGCTGGAGCTTTACAAATTCCCGCTTTCTTAATGGCGAAGATAACTGAGTGATCGCTTGCTCAAAGTTTTGCACGTTATGTGAAACAAAACGATGAGGATTGTTCACGAAAATGAGATCAATAGCAGTACTTGCATGCGTGTTCGCTCACAGGTATTGGTTCTTCAATGAGTTGATTTAAACCGTATAGTCTAGATATTCGCATTAATTTCCTTGCATATTTACAGCCGTTAAAGAATGTTTCATTGAAGCCTTACATTTGTATCCTTTCCGCTAATAGGCCCACGAAGAGGCTTTACGAAGGCCAATAACGTGGTTTGTATAGTATTTGGGGCTGTGAGCACTATAGTTACTAGGAAGATACATTGTATGTAGCCAATACTGGGAATTTAATCTTGAAATTGAAAAATACTGTAGCATAACATATAGGCCTTTCTGAGCCAGATTAGTTTTATTAAGCAGCAACACTGTGACATGTTTTAACTTGACCCCATGCCGATTTGATAATTAAACGTCAAACCGTATGAAATTAAATTTTTAAAAAATCAAACTTTTCCGTGCGTACACACAGGTATGGAAATTGCTCAACTAGAAAACAGCCTTAAGGTAGCTTCATAAATTCTATCACTTCAACATGGGTAATAGAGGACTTTATTATTGGAAAATCCATGTTCTAGGAAAATGAAGAAAATCCAAAAAAGAATTATAAACACCAGAATTATACAATGACTTAATTAATGCATCCATGGTCGTAATCAAACACTGCATGATCAAAACAATTCTTAGCTTGCGTTCCGAAATCATGGCGTCAACAGCTGTGCTCCTTTGCTTTCTTGTTCTACACTGCATAACTGCTCTCGATGCACAGTGTAGCAATATAAATTATACCACGATCAGTGATATCCGACGCAGTACAACGTATAATGCTACTTATTATTTGTGCGATTATTATTTTATCCAGAATGGGTCATGGTACAGGTTTAAAAGTGTGGCTGGAAATAACATACCCGAGTTTAGCTCAGGGGTGAGTCATTGTGGAACTCGTGCCCCAATATGGATGAATGGAACACATCCAACCACAATTGGTGTAGAGGTGGACAGGATTGCGTGTGCGTCGTGGTGGAGGTGGAATCCTCGTCATGTCGACGAGTGCCAATCTCAATATAACATCAAAGTGATAAACTGTGGAAGTTTTTTTCTGTATCAGTTAAAGCCACCTAAATTCTGTTACTCTGCTTACTGTACAAGTAGGTTGCGGTAGGATTTGTTTGTTGTTATCTCGTATTATATGGTTAAATGTGTATTATCTTACTGTGATGAAATATATATTCATCATTTTGTTCTTGACGATTAACTTTATTTAAACACACTATATAATCTTTTCAACATACAGCTGATTCCAAACGAGGAGTGCTAATATTAGCGACAAAATACAAATTTATATACTAAAACTTATTTAAATATTACTATAATATTTCCAACATGTATAATAACGTATTATTTAAAACATAGGAGTTGCGAAATGCGAATGCGCAGCACGAGCATTTTAGGTGCTATTTAAAACACGACCACAAGCTAATGTTTTGAATAGCTTCAAACAAGACTACAATAGATGCCATCTCATTAGTATTCTTTATATAAAAAAATACTAATTAGGATAGACTTTTACATAAAGATTAAGGAATAATGGAGACGAGTTTCATCAGGTATTTTTATACCTGTATGGTTTACACGATTTGCCAATAAACGTATGAATTATCAATGAGTATTTGAATTATACAGGGTGTCCCAAAAAAACCCGAAAACTATTGAAATATTGTTAAAAATTGAATGCCCTACCAAAAAGCTGAACGTAATGATGCGTAAAATATTGACAAGGTGCATTTATTAAAATTTAGTTAAGAACATCTCCTTGTAAAGTGCGCGGTTTTCTGCTCTTGGGAATTTAAAACAGCTTCTTAAATAGTTTCTTTATGCATAAAATTTAGTTATGTCAATCATTTATGCACTCGTGGGAACCAACAGAGTGCCAAGGCATTCAAACTCTAACAATTAAATTGTTATTGGTGATTTCAATAGTTTTCGGGGTTTTTGGGACATCCTGTATATTAACTAAACAATATATTCAACTAAGGCAACTAAATTCTAAAACAAATTAAAGGTCGATCGCGAGGATGAAAGCTTTTTACAAAACGAATAATAAGATACCAAACTTTTCATTTAAACCCCATTATAACTGAAACTCTCCTATATATAAACCTGGCAACAAAAAAGTGGTCGAAGCACCCCTTAAATTGTAATCATTTATTGTGTCTTAATTTTCAAAAGTGTCACACAGTCCTTGAAGGGCTAATTGATTGACCGTTTTGTACATCAGCCTAGCTTTCATTTGCGCCCTATACGTTCGTCAAGCGAATATCCATGACCAGCCAAAATATACTTTACCGTCTAGCGCATTCATAGTTAATAGCGCATTCCAATTCATTAGGGCATTCCAATTCTAAGCAACTCAAAGCCTCTGCGGAGGAGAGAGGGTCGCGGGTTCGAAACCCAGCCGCGGCAGACAGAGTTTTCTGCCTGCGCGCTGTCTGGAAATTATGATATATCTCACTCGAGAACATTTTCTCCTTATCATATTACCGAGTGAACAATAACACAACATAATATAACACATACAGAACTACTATTGGTCGATGCTGAATATAATGTTCATGACATTCAATCCGTCGTGACCGTGTATAGCTCGGTTGGTTGAGACCTTGTAATTTCGAAGATCACGGCACAGAATAAGTCATACAGAAGGCCGACTTCTTGGTTTTTCATATGATTTCCCAATAATTTTGGCGTAACCGTAATTCGTCATCAAAATGCTGACGCCATGGTCCTAACCAGTGCGCGCTTGGGAGGCATTCACCCCCCTGATAATATTCAAACACGCACTGGCTAGGACCATGGCGTCAGTATTTTGATGATGAATCATCGCGCTAACCTTTTTCACAATACGCATTTTATGCCGCAGAAGGTAATTCATTGTGTATAAACTATAGGTCAGTAACAATGAATGTTGTGATTTATATAGGCACAAAGCTGCTGATTCAAAGAAATTGTTCTTCTGATGGCACGTCATTTCCTATTTGCCCTGGTAAGAATCAAATAACATTTCCTCAAAATAGGAACACGAAAGTCTCCTTCTGTGTCATCTATTATGTTAAAAACAAGCCGATACAAAACATGCCGAAAACGAATAATTGCATAATTATCTGATATAGCACCAACGTAATAACCGTAAACACAGGTGCAAGGATTAAGGTAGCCTGCGTAATAATTAAGCGTCTGCGACGCAGACTATAAGATAAAGGATATATAGGACACAACACAGGCGCAAGGCTATATCAAACAATTATTCAAAATGTTTAAATATCAGTGAGGTCTATTGCCTGGTGTAACACGACTCTTATTCATTTTCGGATTTATGGGAAACGTATATAGGCCTAGTGGAATTAAATGACGAATATTTACCAGTTATTCTACGAACTCGATTCGAATATGAGCTGATAGCCGATAAGGCGCGTAGCCCGAAGCAATTTTCCCTTTCGTAAACGGTCTTTGCCATCCCTGCTCGAGTTGCATCTCGGCAGCTCGCGAGATCTCGCCACGCGCTACGCGCGCGTTTGCATCATTGCATGCACGTGCTCGTGAAAATGTTTATATAAATGATATTTTTGAGTGAAAAATATAAATGGCGGCAAGCATAAACTTAGAGGGCTTTGATGATTTACTAGAGAACGCGTTAAAGAAAGTCGATCACCGTTTCCATTGTGAGAAACAGACACAAGAAGAAAAGCAGAAATTTGAGAGTGATGTTTTGGAAAAGCTTCCCGAGGATTACCTTTACGAAGTCAATGAATGTTTAGGTACTGAATCACAGTTTAAGTTGAAGGGAACTACAGATAATCTTTCGTCGGATGATTTAAAAGGATGGCTTGCCAAATTTCAAGCCCTCAACAATGTAACTCTCAAAGTTAGAGCAAAGAAGAGAGAAACGAAGGGTTATTCGACTCAGCATTACTATAGATGCCAACATGACACCAGACGCTGGAGCCAAAGTTAAAGGACCCGGCCCCAGAGGAAGCTGAGAGATGCAACTCGAGCAGGGATGGCAAAGACCGTATGGGATGGCAAAGACCGTTTACGAAAGGGAAAATTGCAGCGCCGAAT